CTTCGACGACTTGCCAACCGTCCTTGCACTTGTCCGCAATTTTAATCAGCTTTTKGCGCTTGTGGATGATCTTTTTCCCTTCTTTTACCAGGTTTGTGATGCTTTGATCGTTAGCCCCGTTCTCGTTGGCAGTCTRTATCTGCTCTAAGATACTCTCTAATTCGGCATTCACTCTGAATTGCTTTTGATTGCCTTTGTATTTCAGCTCCACAGTTTCTTTGTCAATCTTCTGCTTGCTTTCGAGCTTCTTTCCTTGGGTATTTAGTTGTGTGGCAAGATAATCTTTGAATAGCCCAAAGACTTGTTGAACAAATTCAGGATTTGACGACGTATTATCCGCGCTCGTACCAGCGACTGGGTCCACCACGGTATGTATCTCTTGTTCTTTGCTCTTTCTAAGGGACCTTTCTTTCCCGATTAATGGAGACTTAGTTCTTGGTGTTCTATCTTCTTCATCCGACATTGCAGCTCGTCTTGGTAGTAAACTCGTTAGCTACTTGCGAGAGAGAGAATATGTGTAATCTGTGCAAACTCTTAAGTAVGAGTTTGTGACCAATCAGTAATTACCTTGGGACATACTGGCGTAACTGAAAACAATAACCACTGAAATACCTTTCGTGCCAATAGAAATTACATTTACTCTTGCTCATTCATCAACTTTTGTTATTGTTGTTGTTCTTTTATTCTGTACTGTACGTTCCTCTTTTTCTTCTCATATCAAACTTATTGCCATACATCGAGTGACATTTGCTTAGATTTCATTAGATTAGATCTTTTAATATGTTATAAAAGAAGAGGCTGAAAAAATCACAAATACGGCATTTTTTAAAGAATATATCTGCTTATCGGTCATTACGAAAGCAAAAAGCTTTAAATTTTGCTCTCCGAAACCCTATCCTGGGACTCTTCAACAATAGCTTTAACAGTTTTTTGAAGCCAACCGGTGTTAATACGCTGGAGTACAAGAGGCATAAATCGCTCAAAGAATAAACAGAAAGGTCACATATATTTTATTTCTTAGCTTCGATGGTAGGATTGTCTTGATTATCATTGCATTTCTTCAAAAAGTCTTGAAATCTGGTCACTTTTTATCGAATTTGACACTTCATACGGGCTGTCAGGTTTTTCGGCGAAATAGGAGCAAAATTAGATTTGTCACGTGACCTTTGCTTCATACCTTGCCACAGACTAGGTTTTGATCCCTCGCGGCAAGGGATCATTTACGTAATACCACAGGTAACCCGCATTTTGAGCGTGCACCGATAACAGTACTAGCGTAAATTAAAAGCGTGCCATTTGTTCTTTTCCTTCTCTCAAGCAATAGTTGGGCGCGATGGTGTGACTCAATCTCCATATAAAAGGGGCATTACAAACATATCTTTTGTATAATGAAAAAATATTTTATTCAAAAATGCACAATTAGACCTTGTCGATCGCTCAGAATTTGACGGGTTTTTTTTCAAATATTTGCMACCTGAAAAAAGGCCTAATTTTTCAATATTTTTTTATTTTCTCTTTAAGTCAAAACCTCCTAAACCCAAAAGGAGAAAGAAAATAAAGGACAAGAAGGTAAGCATAAAACAACAACGACAAAAGAAAACGGTTCGCTTCACACTATATTTAATTCTAATCAGAAGTTGAGAATGCCAGACAAAAGACACAAACAAATGTATCCTTCACAACATAGTCATAGCACTTAGCACAAGAAGATAAGCTAATTACGTAAGACAAAAAATAGACGAATGTCACATTACGGGAATATAAATTCTAAAATAGTATNACTAATGTTAATCCTGAAAATTCCATGCAAATCGGATAAAACGGTAAAAGTTACACCAAATTGAAGAAATTTCCATCCAAATGACCATATATGGTCAAAAAAGATGCGATTTACACGCCCACAGGATAAACTGTATCACAAATGTACTGGTACCATAGGACATGGAGTCAAATTTGTAGTTTTTTGGATTTGGGACTGTATGCTTATTTTTCCTCTTTCGACAAGAAATATGTCATTGTGACGTGTTTTGACGTCATTATGACGTACTTAATAACGAAAAACGCAAAATAAGCATATAGTGCAAAATGCAAAAAACTACAATCTTAACTCCATACCCAATGGTACAAGTACATTTGTGATACACTTTATCCTGTGGGCGTGTAAATCGCTTCTTTTTTGACCATATATATTGTCATTTGGCAGGAAATTTGAATAAAATCTAGTATTTTTGATTATTTTTTACTGCACGACAATTTAACCGATTTATATGGGGTTTTCACCAAAGTATGTAGAATAAGCGACTTAATATTAGTGTATTTTCTTTTGTCTTGTTTTACAAATGGTACTGCAGCGAACAATTATAACGTAGTTAATGACGTTACAATTGTAGTCACATGACCAATTTTGCCTTCAAACAATTACTATGATCTCAGACTATGCACCTGCCAAGTTTCGTTTTAATTGATTAAATCTTCGTTAACCACGACCTTCCGGGAGGAAAACCCATAGCAACCGAGCATCGTGACTTAAAACTTAAAAATTTTTAACTTAAAAGTTAGAAATGCAGAAGAAGGTTTGCGTTGAGGCTAGTAAACCACATAGAACCGAACCTGTTTTTTCAGTGGCTGACTATGAATTGCAGAATACTTCAACTAGTCTTACTTGCGCATCATTATAATTGAGGAGACATTGATCCATACTTTGGTTTATAAAGGTACATACATTAGGGCTCTACCTAAGGAAGGAATATTACGGACCTTTTTTTGTGCAAACACGCCGACCATTATGGATATATTCTCATTTCAGTACACTGTTTCACATCAACGGTATGTTTGGAATAAAGAGCGCGTTGGTTGTTCTTGTCTTGGTGTCTGTGATGTTGGACCAGGTCTACACCTATCCTATAGCTACTAATGATTCAGAAAAAGGCCTGGGCACGGGCGTAAGTCAGTTATTATATTTTTGACAACTTTCAGCAGTCTTTTTCTCTTACTTTTGCTCATTCATCAACTTTTGTTATTGTTGTTGTTGTTGTTCTTTTATTCGGTACTGTACGTTCCTCTTTCTCTTCTCATATCAAACTTATTGCCATAAATCGGGTGACATTTGCTTAGATTTCATTAGATTAGATCTTTTAATATGTAAGTCTCGTGTATGCATAGTTAAACTCATAGAAATATCGCTGTACAAATTGATTACGTACACACAACGACATGCAGCAAGGACGGAGAGAGTGAAAAGTTTGTAAGTCTTATTTGGAATGTTTTGTAATTTCCATAGGTATAACTTTAGTTTTTTGCTTATTATTGTAATGATATATTGCTTATCATTTCTTCTTAGAGAATCGTTATGAACAAGTTGAGGATTTAAACTCGAATAAACGAGTGCGAACCGTGATCATAACCTACCCGTCTACTGCACATAATATGTTATAAATGAAGAGGCTGAAAAAATCACAAATACGGCATTTTTTAAAGAATATATCTGCTTATCGGTCAATACGAAAGCAAAAAGCTTTAAATTTTGCTCTCCGAAACCCTGGGACTCTTCAACAATAGCTCATTTACAGTTTTTTGAAGCGAACCGTGTTAATACGCTGGAGAACAACAGGCATAAATCGCTCAAAATTGAAGGAAATTGCCTGAAACTTCACAGAAATGTAAAGAAAAACACAATACACAGGTAGAAATGTTTATTTTTGTTATATTTAAAATATTTCTAAAAAGTACACAAATGCCTAGCTTGCGCTACCGGTAATCGCCTGGCTATTTTGATGCTCAACTTCAACTCTTCAAAGGCGAAAATACATACTTGGATTTTCAAATTTTCTCACGAAGAATACACAGAAAGGTCACATATATTTTATTTCTTAACTTCGATGTTAGGTTTTTCGGATTGTCTTTATCGAGTCATTGCATTTCTTCAAAAAGTCTTGAAATCTGGTCTCTTTTCGTCGAATTTGACACTTCATACGGGCTGTCAGGTTTTTCGGCGAACAGTCCGGAATATTATCAATTTTGGTAATATAATTTCCATCACAAAATGGCGGCCATAAGCTTTCTTCGAGCCCTTTCCATTTTAGCCTCCAATATTCAAATAAAGGTCCATTCCCATGAACCTTTGCCCGTCAAGGCTTTCTTACATAATGACGCCATAGCTGTGAAGTATTGTTCATGATATTCGAGTTTTTTTGCTGCTCTTTTTCGCTTTTTCGACTGGTTTTACCTACTAAAACGAATTTTAAAGTATCTTTGCCCACGAAGTTGACAATTTTGCCCACCTAGAGGCAATTTAGAGTGTTTTTACTATTACAGTTGGTTTCGTGTTGAGGCATAACTGAACTTTTTGAGGCATCCTCTTCAAAGTCGTAAAAGTTATTAATGGAAGGGAACGATGGAGGAGCATCGGAGATTCCTCGATAACAGATATTGTATCTGTAGGGTTTCCTTGATAGGAAGTCACCAGAAAAGAAAGAAAATACGTCAAGACTTAATATTTTATATGAAGGAATTCAACGATTGCTGGGATATAAACATTGAGGAGGAAAGCAGCGATAAAATGGAGGCGTTGGGATTGCTGCTAAGTGTGCTAAGTATCTTTGATAAATAAATACAATACAACTCTTATCATGTGTTGTGCTTTCATTACAAACTACTAGTAGATTTTTACTGAAGAATGAATTCCATATACTTGAAGCTAGGAAAGGGAAAACTCAAATCACCTTGATTTAATACAAACTCGAACGTGCGTTGCTGTGTGACGGTTCGGGACTACTCGTGGGCTTTAACAAAAAAACGGCCCTCTTTCGAAGCGTATTATTAATTGTTCAATTGATAGACTTCATGTGAGTAGATTAGGATTTTTATTTATAACATTTACTTCATGAGCAACAACAAACAAAAAACTTTTGCTCGACGATATCAAAACAAAATACGAGCATTATCAAATTTGATAATATTCAGGACTTCAATCAATAGAAACACCAAACGTATACAAATAGAAGAGACTTCCACATGATATGTTGCGGCATTCAGTCAAGAGGAATGTATGTATTGCGCGATGATTGATGGTTGCCATGAACGCCAATGTGTTCTCTTCTTTGATTGGTTAAGATCTGTGTTTACAAAATATTACCAAAACTGGTAATGTTACGGACTGGCGAAATAGGAGTAAAATTAGATTTGTCACGTGACCTTTGCTTCATACCTTGTCACAGACTAGGTTTTGATCCCTCGAGGCAAGGGCTCATTTACGTAATACCACAGGTAACCCGCATTTTGAGCGTGCACCGAAAATAGTACTAGCGTAAATTAAAAGCGTGCCCATCTGTTCTTTTCCTTCTCTCAAGCAATAGTTGGGCGTTAAAAGTGGCATTACAAACATATTTTTGTAATAATGAAAAAAATATTTTATTCAAAAATGCACAATTAGACCTTGTCGATCGCTCAAAATGTGCCGGCGGGAGTTTTTTCAAATATTTGCCACCTAAAAAAAGGCCTAATTTTTCTATGTTTTTTTTATTTTCTCTTTAAGTCAAAACCTCAAAAGAAAATAAAGGACAAGAAGGTAAGCATAAAACAACAACGACAACGACGAAAGAAAACGGTTCGCTTCATACTATATTTTTAATTCTAATCAGAAGTCGAGAATGCCAGACAAAAGACACAAACAAATGCATCCTTCACAACATAGTCATAGCAATTAGCACAAGAAGATAAGCTAATTACGTAAGACAAAAAATAGACGAATGTCACATTACGGGAATATAAATTCTAAAATAGTATACTCGTTTTACATAAAAGAAATATAGAGTTTTTTTTATGTCAACATGAGGCATAAATGTCAAGTTTAAAAGAGATGAGAACTTAAAATAGCGAATATATATGCATTTTTCTCAAGTAAATTTTTATATTATCCGGAATTCCATGCCCGGTGAAGAAAATATGCGGGATAAAGTTCTATTTTGTCATATTATTCTTTGCCAATTGCCATTTTGATTAATGGAATGTTTATGTAAGGACCGTTAGAGTAACATATCCTTATTGACAGAAACGGTCAGTGGATAAACAATTATTCAAAATGGCGATGTATAGTAAACGATCATTGTGTCTTAAAAAACACTCAAAAATGCTATATGCTGTGCCATCATGCTGTTTTTCATAGGAGCACTGATATCTTCTATTTAAACGTTCTTGTTCTTTTGTAGCCTCCTAAATGTCCGCCGGGTCTCTGGTGCCGCTCGAAAGTGCCAATGTTGCCTTCAATACCTATTATTTGATGCAGTTGCTTGAATAGCTGTCAAATAGTCGATGTCAATTCAGAATATTGTAATCAAATACATGAAGTAATATTCACCATTCAAAGAAATAAAAAGATTTAGTTCAAATGAGGACATTTGGAGTTTTTTGAAGAACAACTGAAAAGAGTCATTGATAAGAGGACAATGACTATGAATATCCATAAGATATTATTAAGATTAAGGTTAGCAAATCAGAACAAGCGATGATTGGGGTAAATCGTTTTATGGATGGGCTGTAAACAATTGGTGCCGCTGAACGAAGAATAAAT